AGTAGAGACTCATTAGAAGCAATGAATCTTGCTTTTAATCACTTTCATTTCTAGGCCGACACTCGAAGGGGGTGGCAAAGACTGTAACAAAGCAGCGAGTGGAGTCTCATTTTGACCTGGAACTTCGGGCAGCTGTGATGCATGACATTCTGGACATGATGCCTGAGGGGATCAAACAGAACAAGGCCCGGACAATCCTGCAGCACCTCAGTGAAGCTTGGCGCTGCTGGAAGGCCAACATTCCCTGGAAGGTGGGTGTCTCCCCAACTCAGGAGGCATGGAGCTCATCTTTCTGGGTTTAGGATTACCACTTTGGACCACCTTAGGCCATGTGGCTCCCATCACTTTCCTATTGTGCTTTTTGCACTTCAGGTCCCTGGGCTGCCAACACCTATAGAGAACATGATCCTTCGATACGTGAAGGCCAAGGCTGACTGGTGGACCAACACTGCTCACTACAACCGAGAACGGATCCGCCGTGGGGCCACTGTAGACAAGACTGTGTGTAAAAAGAACCTGGGCCGCCTCACTCGGCTCTACCTGAAGGCCGAACAGGAGCGGCAGCACAACTACCTGAAGGTTGGGCCATGTAGGCTAGGCTGGGGGTTGAGGGGTGGGCAGGAGGGTGGATTGCAAAGCTGGGACCATGGCTTGTCCTGGAGGGATTGGGCTACAGTGGGAAGCTCATTCTCATGTCCATCTTGCAGGACGGTCCTTACATCACAGCAGAGGAGGCGGTGGCAGTGTATACCACCACTGTGCATTGGTTGGAAAGCCGTAGGTTCTCACCCATCCCATTCCCCCCACTCTCCTACAAGCATGACACCAAGTTGCTCATCTTGGCCTTGGAGCGGCTCAAGGAAGCTTACAGGTGAAGAGTAGACAGGTTCCTGTGGGAAGGTCAGAGTCCAAAGAAAGAAGGCTTAGCCCCAGTGCTTTCTGGGCTTGGCTTCCTCTTGGTTTTCCCACTCACCTGTTCTTTTACCTTGTCAGTGTGAAGTCGCGGTTAAACCAGTCTCAGAGAGAGGAGTTAGGTCTGATCGAGCAAGCCTATGACAACCCCCATGAGGCGCTGTCCCGCATCAAGCGTCACCTTCTCACTCAGAGAGCCTTTAAAGAAGTGAGTGCGATGCCCCCATTTTCTTTTAACTGTGTTATTCATTCTTGGTGCCCAGGGTGGCAGGTTGCCTCAGGTGATTAATGAATTGGTGTGAGCCAGCTTCCTTGTCCCACAGGTCGGCATTGAGTTCATGGATCTCTATAGCCACCTGGTGCCAGTGTACGATGTGGAGCCACTGGAGAAGATAACTGATGCCTACCTGGACCAGTACCTGTGGTATGAAGCTGACAAGCGCCGCCTCTTCCCACCCTGGATCAAGCCTGCTGACACAGAACCGCCGCCTCTGCTTGTTTACAAGTGGTGTCAAGGTAAAGCTTTTCTGGAATTGCCCCTGAGGAAGGAAGGTGAATTGAGATCTACTTCAAAATTCTCATCTAGGCAGTCTAGTTAGTTTACTGTCTTGGAGCATGATAGCAAGGAAACGGTGTTGGTCATAAACTGAACAAAGCTGACTCTCCTAGCAATCCAGGTGACTGAATGGAGTGGTTGTGTGATCGGGTTATGAACAGGGTGGCTACCGTAGGCACTAGTTTTGAAAGGGAACTTCTAACCTACTGGAGACCTGTCTTGTCTGCTCCTCAGGCATTAATAACCTGCAGGACGTGTGGGAGACAAGTGAGGGCGAGTGTAACGTCATGCTGGAGTCCCGATTTGAGAAGATGTATGAGAAGATCGACTTGACCCTGCTTAATCGGCTGCTGCGCCTCATCGTGGACCACAACATAGCTGACTACATGACAGCCAAGAACAACGTCGTCATCAACTATAAGGTGGATCTGGGGGGCAGGGTAGCAAGGACTAAGGGGAGGGGTGGTTGGCCCACTACCTTGGGATTTGCTGAGGGGAGGACAAAAGAGGATGGGCTCTGGAGAAGCCTGGGACACGGCCATGGTTACAAGTTGTAAGTCTCTTTCTAGGACATGAACCATACGAATTCATATGGGATCATCAGAGGCCTGCAGTTTGCCTCATTCATTGTGCAGTACTACGGCCTGGTGATGGATTTACTTGTGTTGGGATTGCACCGGGCCAGTGAGATGGCTGGGCCCCCTCAGATGCCAAACGATTTTCTCAGTTTCCAAGACATAGCCACCGAGGCTGCCCATCCCATCCGTCTCTTCTGCAGATACATCGATCGTATCCATATTTTCTTCAGGTGAGGGCTTGCCTGGACTCTTGTCCCTGCAGGATGTTGAGATCTATGTCCAGCCTCCAGCAGTGGCTTTTGTACCTGAGTTGACTTGCTGCTGGGTTGGGGCTCTAAGGTGGAATGAAGTCCTGTGAGTAGGGTGGGGGTTGGGGTTGGCCCCTGTCTATGGAGCCGTAGGTCTCATGAGATCCCAGTGTACTTGGGCCTCAGCAGTGCTCCTCGTCTGGTGTAGGTTCACAGCAGATGAGGCTCGGGACCTGATCCAGCGTTACCTGACAGAGCACCCTGACCCCAACAATGAAAACATCGTTGGCTATAATAATAAGAAGTGCTGGCCCCGAGACGCCCGCATGCGCCTCATGAAGCATGACGTCAACTTGTGAGTCTTAAGCTGGGGCTGTGGGAGCTGGAAGGATGTCAGCCTGAGGGACCCAGAGGACAATTAGAGGGAATTTATGATTTGGTGTCCTGGGTGGGAGGAGGTACTCTGTCGGGATTTCATGAGTCTGGCCTTTGAAGGGAAGTTCCTTCCAGGAGACTGATGTGACTCTGTGTTCTCTGTGGGCAGGGGTCGGGCAGTGTTCTGGGACATCAAGAACCGTCTGCCACGCTCAGTGACTACAGTTCAGTGGGAGAACAGCTTTGTGTCTGTGTACAGTAAAGACAACCCCAACCTGCTGTTTAACATGTGTGGTTTTGAGTGCCGCATCCTGCCTAAGTGCCGCACCAGCTATGAGGAGTTCACCCACAAGGATGGGGTGTGGAACCTACAGAATGAGGTACAGCCTGGGCGGGGGGCCAGGAGTAGATTACCACCCCGTACCTCCCAGGTAGGCCGGGGTGCGGAACACCGCGTACTTTTTCACTGTCAGTCGGTTGAGCCTTGCTGGGAGGGTAGGACTTAGTGGTGGTCAGGGTTGGTTCTTGTTCCTGGGGCAGGCAGTTCCAGAGACAGTTAACCTTGATCTTGTGGTTTAGGTTACTAAGGAGCGGACAGCTCAGTGTTTCCTCCGTGTGGATGATGAGTCAATGCAGCGCTTCCACAACCGTGTGCGTCAAATTCTGATGGCCTCTGGCTCCACCACCTTCACCAAGGTATACATGGCAGTCACAACCGTCTTGCCTGCTTTGCTCTCCTTTCTTTCCAGCTTTGTTCAGTGTGCCAGTCTCCATGCTTTATGGTGCAGCAGCTTGGAGTGTCAGGTCACCTCACAGTTGTTTTCTGAGAATTCCCTGTAGGAATTCTATAGCCCATGTCTGAGTAGTTGTGATGATTTTAGATTAAGGTAAGAGTAGAAGTTGGATTCTTTAATTTGAACAAAAATCACCGTCTTTGCATTTTTCCTGGGGCTTGTTACCAAGTCATATAGGTCATCTTTTGACCAGCAACATAGTGTGTATGTTAAAAAGCAAGTGTAACTAGCAATCTGAGTGTTGTTTCCCCATAAGCTGCTTCCAAGGCCCAGTTGAAGGCAGCTGGAGTTGAGAAAGAATAATATGAGGATTTGTTAACTGTGTGTACTTAAGTTTTTGCAAGGTATAAAAAATTGCCTGCTCCTTCTGCTGTCTTTCCATCCCACCAGTGGTACCATGCACGTCCTGTCCTGGCTGATGCTCTCAAGAGCATCAGTAGTGCCAAAAAGAGAAGGAGATGCTAGGTTCTTACTAGGTTGCATTCCAAAGTCATTGTCCAGTTTCTGACTGTGATGATCAGGCAAGGTTACACTGGAGAATTTGAAACCATTCCTGATCACAGAGCTGGGAAAATTGTGAACTCCACAGGCAGGTTAGACAAGTCTGGTGGTGTGACCAACCCCGGATTTGATGTACAACTCAAAAGATCTAGAAAAGTGACAGAGTAATCTGCTCTTGCCCCATCAGTTTGGTTTCATTGTGCTGACAACTTCAGCTGGCATCGTGGACCACAAGAAGCAAGACAGAAAAACACACAGGAGAGAAAATCGTCGGATTCTTTTTCTAGAAATGTAATACATACATAGAAAAAAAATGTGTCAACAGATTTTTTTTTTTAAATCACCTGATCCTGGTTTCTCTTAAAATAACTCTTAGCTGTAGCATTTTCTCTCCTTCTGGCCTTCGTATTGCTTTGAATATGCAGTGTATAAAGAAGGCTTGAAATTTTTCAGTAATGCTTCTGTTAAGGATACCTTTTTTTTAAAATCTAATGTTCTTTTCCTGAAATCCCCCATGATACATTTTTTTGGAGTGTAGTGCAAGGAAAAGTGTTTGTTTTCTTATGTTGGTGTATATCCTTCAAGGATCAGATAACAGAAATTACATAATTCATTCATTCCGTTGGTGTTTGTTGACAGCCACTGTATTCAGTGCATTACACACACAGCATGTGAGAGAGTCACTGCCTTCCTTAATCTCACTACCTGTTTGGAGAGACATGTGTAGTCAAGAGAACTGCACTGTGATGTGGTAATTTGTAGAGCTCTTGTGTTATTTGGGAATCTGTGAGAGCACTCTGGTTAATGACTAGTCCAGTCTGGAAGAGAGAGAGAGAAAGACTTTCTGAAAGAAATAACCTGTGAGTAGTGGGTAAGGGCAGGCATTCTTGCAGCCAGAGGTGTGAAGGTGTAACTGGCATGTCGTATGTGGGGCTCTGAAAAGTTCAAGGTTTACTGGAGTAAATTGTGGAATTGGGACTTAGGAGATGGAGGCTGGATAAACGAGTCAGATCATGGAGGACATTACATGCCTCTGTAAGAATCCTATAAGGGTCTTAAACATGGGAATGACTTCCAGATTTCTGTGGGAGGCAGTTCACTTCTTGCAGCTGTGGGGAAGTTGGATCCAGAAGAACAGAGTGGGAGATCAGGTTTGAGGGCTACTGCTGAAGTCCAGAGAAAAAGGATGAGAGCAGGGGACATAGTGGTAGGGACAGGGGAACATATTTGGTAAGTAGTTGGCAGGTAAAGTCAGCAGAGCTTCATTTTGGTGGGATGCCAGAGGGAAAGGAAGTCAAAGGAACATTCAGTTTTTGGCATGGGTGACTAGGTGGATGTTGGTGCCACCAACTGGAAGACTGCAGGAAGAAGAGCAGGTTC